AAATACTTTCAATGAGAAAAAGCTAAGCTAGCATGGTCGAAGTGAGGACAGCAACAAAGGAGTAGATTTCAGAATACACTCCAGTTGGAGGAGAGTAGACTCTGCCCTGATTTATGGAGTGTTCAGTTAGGTAGATGAAGAAGACGGCATTCAGTGAGGTGGGGAAGACTAGATGTGAAACCTCTTGGGAAAAGCTCCCAGCTAGTCTTAATCATCTTTATAAATCATTTTAAATAGCCTGTCTACTCTAGGGATATGGAGCTCTGAACAGAGTTTGGGAGAAAGGTGCAGCTTATGAGTCTTTGTCATAGGTTCTGGTAACAGACTTGTGTGTGGGCACACACATGTGAGTGTACATATGAAGAAAATGATGATGATGTTAGGGGAGGCTCCAGAGTTGGCCCTAAAGGGGTGTAAGCATTTAATTTCAAGAAAAGGAAGTTGCCAACATATACAAATTAGAAAAGAAATAGCTAAAAAAAAAAAAAAAAACCAAAAAAAAAAACCAAGGCAACCAGTGGAATATAGTGTCACTGGAACAGAAAGCAACGTGTTTTCAGAAGGACTGTGCCCAAGGTTACTAAAAGCCACGGAGCAGAGGAGCTTGAAAATGCTCCTTAGGATCTCATGGGCATTAAAGTAAAGAGGGAGGGACACGGGCTAATTGACAAGTAGCTAAGGATGCCTGAAACAAGGGGCCAAATAAAAGGAAGTACACATAATAAAACACACCACACACACACACACACACACACACACACAGAGGCCTACAAAATTTAATTGAAAAAAGTGATAAGACAATGAATTAACTATGAGATGAGAGCATATTCCAATGTTACTAGGAAAGTTCATAAAAAGGAGGTCAAAATTCAAGGGAGATGAAAAAAATATAAACCAAGTGGTGACTCTCCCCTTAGAATCCGAATATTCTTCAATGAGCTCTACCAAGACCTCCTTGAAGAGCATTTGTCCATCTCTGGAGTCTTCCCTTCTTTCTTTCCTGAGGTACACATGTAAGATTTCTCCCAGGATCTCAGCTTTTGAACCCTTGAATAATCTAAGTTTCTTCCCTCTATTCTATGTCTGGCTGACCCCTTTCAGCTTGTGTCTTAGGGTTTTATTGCTATGAAGAGACATCATGACCACAGCAACTCTTACAAAGGAAACATTTAATTGGGGCTGGCTTACAGTTCAGAGGTTTAGTCCATTATTGTCATGGAAGGAAGCATGGCAGTGTGCAGGCAGAAGAAGGACTTGAGTGTTCTACAGCCAGAAAGGCAGGCAACAGGAAGTGAATGCCACACTAGGTGTGGCTTGAGAATCTGAGAAGTCAAAGCCAGTCCTCAGTGACCACTTCCTCCAACAAGGCCACAGCTCCCTATAGTGACACTCCCTATGGGACTATGGAAGAAGCTATTTTCTTTCAAATCACCACACCTATTCAGATCCCCCAGGTCCTTCCTGATCATCTATTGAATCCAAAACTATCCCTATCTTCACAGGTTGGCTATTTTTCCTCATTTTGGTCTGTGCCCCCATTAGTTTTGTCTATAAACTTGGCACAACCTAAAATCACCTGGGACACGTGTCTTAATGAGGAATTATCTATATCGGGTTGGCCTACGGATATTTTTGAAGGGTTGTCTTGATTGCTGGTCGTTGTAGGAAGATCAAGTCCATGTGGGCAGTACCATTCCTTAAGCAGAGGGTCTTGAGCAGCATGAGAAGAGGAAGGTGGCTGTGCAGAAGCAAGCAAGCAATGGTGCATGCAGTTTTCTCTGCTCTTGACTATGGGATGTCATGTTATTTGCTGCTTCAATCTCCTGTCACTGTGATTTTCTTGCTACCATGGTCTATAACCTGGAATTGTAAGCTAAATAAATTCTTTCTCCTCTGAGTTGTTTCTTGGTCTGGGAATTTGTCACAGCAACAGAAATAAGACCTTAATCTTAGTGTTTTCAGAGAAGAATGTGCTAAATACACAGTCTAAGTGAATGACCCCCTTTCTCTGGCCTCATGCACTCACCCTCTTAACTTTTAACAGAGCACTTCTTATTTCGTATTTTCTCATTTATATATTTTTTTTCTCCAGGCTTATGTAGAAAGCAACTCATCTCCTTCTTCAAAGCCTAATGTGAACAGAGTGTCTAATGTACATAGGTGCTTTATTGGTTGACTAAATATTAAGTTGATTTTCGTAAAGGGAGCATGATTATAAATTTGGGTCACAATTATTATACATCTCTAGGTAACAGATTTGAAGATAAAGATGAAGATTATTTTAAATATTTTTAATAAATATTTTAGTATTTTAAAACTCTTATAGTAATAACTTATACTATCCAATAACAGTAGTCCAGAAAGTACATAGTCCAGATTAAAAATTTACTAAGGATAATTTATTTCTTAGGAATAAAAAACACCTATCAAACAAATATATGCTAAGCTGTGTACTATCATTCTAAGTATATAGGGATAAAAACCAAATGTAGTAGACTGGAAATTGGCAATTCAAAGATGAGTAAGCGAACATAATACAGAAAATAACAATATTGTGCTTTAAAAAGGCTATTACAGAGTGTGAAGAAAATAATAAGAGGTCAGTTTGTTGTCAAACCTCTGGGTCATAAAATCTCTCTTCTCAGAATTTAGACACCTTCCAAATGCCTCTCTTCGTCCTGAGGGCAAATCATTAACATGAAGTTCCCCTTCCCTGCTATATAACACCTTTTCCCAAATCAAATAAAAGCCTTTCTCACAAAGAAGGGGAGAGGAGGCTACCGAGCCAGTGTTCAGTGTCACAATTAAGCTTTGGCTGTGACAGGAGGCGGCTGCCATAAGCAAAGAAGCAGAGAAAAGAAAAACCGGCTGTGAGATGTCAGCTTATTGTTTGTGGAAGGGGCTAAAGATGAGAAAATAGCTCTTTTCGAGTTGTAAGAGTCTATAAAGCAGAGTAACTCAGAAAGCACTGGGAAGGAATACTGAGAAAATAATACTCAAAATAAATAGCAATGGAAATTGTGTTGAACCAAACATGACCTTTGGAAAGAGAGGGAGGATTTTGCATATCTAAGAATATCGCATCATAGCACTCTCTGAAAGATTAAAGCTATTTCAATATTTTCCCATTTATTTAATGTAAGCAGTATGGCTTGCACTGACAAAATGTCACATTTCTTCCTTAGGTGCTATTATACACAGACGGGACATGAGGTTCCTATCGGTTGTTCAAAGTCATTCTTAAAGAGCAAAATAAAATCTGATTATAAATATTGGAAATGCTTGTCTGCCTGACAGCCTTTACTTTCAAATACTTCTTCAAGCATATAAGCATATAGTGCCTTTCGAAGGAGTGGGAAGCATCTTCTGATATGCCACAGTCACAGAGTAATGAGGAAGCAAATGAGTCAGTGCTCAGAAAATGCAACATCTGCTTAGATGCCATGGGTCAGCTGATCAATCAAAAGGAGATGAAAACAGAGGGCAAAGTATTATTCAGTCCAGAAAATAAATCTAACATCTATCTATCTATCTATCTATCTATCTATCTATCTATCTGTCTGTCTGTCTGTCTGTCTGTCTGTCTGTCTGTCTGTCTGCCTGTCTGTCTGCCTGTCTGTCTGTCTGCCTGTCTGTCTGTCTGCCGGCTTGCCTGCCTGCTTGTCCATCTGTCTGTGTGTCTGTCTATCTATCTATCTATCTATCTATCTATCTATCTATCTACCATCTATCTATCTATCTGTAATCTATCTCTATCTAAATCTATCCTCACATATGTAAATATAACAAAATACAAATTAATATGAAACTCAGCACACAAAATACTAAATTCCAAACTCTTTAAAAGCCCTAAGAAGACGAATATCCTTAAAATGTAATGAATAAAATGAATAAAAATTCAGTGACATTGAGCTAATGGCAATTACTAATTTTTGTTTTCCAAAGAAACTCCCAAAGTCATTAGTTCAGAGCAGGCAAGATGGCTCAGCAGGTAAAGAACATGCCACCAAGCCCCACAACTCGAGTTTAATCTGCGAGACACACAGGGTGCAAGGAGAGAACTCATTCTTACAAGTCGTCCTCTGACCACCACGGGTGCTCTGTCACAGGGGCACAACTCTGTCCCCCACATACATAAAATAAATACATACAACTTTTTTTTTTTTTTTAAAAAAAGGACCTCATTCATACCATGCTAATTCCTTTTATCCTTACTTTGACATAATAAACGATGCTGATTTATTAGAACATAATGTGGTGTGGTGTAACTAGATTTTTATCATTCAGCGTGTACCTTTTAGAAATCAAAGGCCTTTTAATGTAACATATTTTTGAAAACTATTTCATGCTTTAAATCAAATGCAGTTTCCCCAGAGATTAACTAATTAATTAATTAGTTAATTTTTGAGAGAGGGACTCACTATTTCTCCCTGGCCAGCCTGGAACTCTATGTGGACCAGGATGCCCCCAAATCTCAGAGATTCACCTGTCTCAGTCTTTTTTGTGTCAGAATTACAGGCATCATCTAAGTCAGCTCCACAGTAATGTCTAGAAGGAAAACAAAGGAGCTTTGCATTGTTCTTGCCTCCCTATAGTGCCCTCTTTCCGTGTCTTCTTTGTTTCTTCCAATGCTTGCTAGAAGCAATGTCAAGCCTGATGACCCAAATCTTTGGCTGTAAAGGACCTCGTCCTTTCTACCATCTCATACTGGGCAACAGTGAGGCATTTCTAGATTGTTCTGTGCTCATCCCATTTTCTTGAATTTTGAGGTGAAAAATAGATTGCTAAAACTCCTCGGCTTTAGTTAACTAGATATAACACACTATAATTTTGAACTCCCCAACACACGGTGTGCTTTCGAGCTATTGCTTGAATTGTTTTCAGGCTTCACGTTTTAAGACCACATTATTAATTTCCTCACATTTATGATCTTGGCATATTTTATATTTAATCTTTTATGAAGAATAATTTGACTTTATCTTGGGCTGTGTTTGTGCTAGGCCATCAAATCAGGTGGTGACCCAGTGGGATCAACGAGGACATTAAAACGACTGCAGAAATGGCTGTGGATCAAAAAAGCCAGAGTGCAGAGCCTGGAAGAGATGAAGCCGGTGTTAATAGAGCCCCGTGCGTAAGCTCAGCAAATGGTCCAATGTCTCTGAAGACGGATTGGCCACTCTTTTTTTTTTTTTTCTTTATTAAGAAATTTTCTACTCACTCCACATACCACCCACAGATTCCCCCTCCTCCCTCCTCCCAACCCCCAGTCCTCTCTCCCAAGCCACCCCACATCCCCATATCCCCACATCCCCACATCCCCCAAATCAAGGTCTCCCATGGGAAGTCAGCAGAGCCCAGCACACTGAGCCTAGGCAGGTCCAGGCCCCTTCCCACTGCACCAGGGCTGTGCAAGGCGCCACTCTACAGGCACCGGATTCCAGAAGCCTACCCATGCACCAGGGACAGATCCCGATCCCCCCTGCCTGGGTGCTCCCCAAATAGTTCGAGCCAAACTACCGTCTTCTGTATCCAGAGGGCGTAGTCCAGTCCCATGGGGGCTCCACAGCCAGTTCATGGGCTTCCATGACATCATCTCTGCACGTCCTCCCATCATGATCTCAATGTCCTCTCTCATCAGTTGCATTCCCAGAGCTCAGCCTGGTACCTGGCCGTGGATCTCTGCATCTGCCTCCATCAGTTACTAGACAAAAGCTCTATGATGACAGCTACGTTTTTCGCTAGACCAGTCACCAGATTAGACTAGTCCAGGCACCCTCTGGACCACTGCCAGCAGACCAAGGGGGGTCAACCTTGTGGATTCCTGAGAGCCTCCCCAGCACCCTGCCTCTTCCTTTTCCCATGATGTCTTCATCTATCATGGTATCTCCCTCCCTGCCCTCCCACTCTGTCCCTGTTCCAGCTTGACCCTCCCATTTCCCTATGTTCTCATCCCCCACTCCTTGCCCTCTGCCCCCCGTCCCCCCCACCACCTAGTCCGTTCATGTAGCTCTCATCCACTTCTCCTTTGCAGGGTCATCATGTGTCCCTCCTAGGGTCTTTCCCTGTTAGCTAGCCTCTCTGGAGCTGTGGGTTGTAGTCTGGATTGGCCACTTTTGTATTAATGAAATCTGCTTCAATGAGGTCTTAATGGAATTATTGACCTTTGAGCTCTTCTTTATTGTTATTTGAAAACAGAAATCCTAACCGCAATTTCTGAATTTCACCCCATCACTTCCTCATAACCAATCAGGTGAGCGTGCGGTGGATGAAGTTCAGAGGAACAATAAGGGTTAATGGTGTTCTCTGTTTCCATTTCCAGGATGTAGAAGACAGTATTTGTAAATTTTCTTATGTGAGTGGAGAAAGGTCCTATGTCTGTGTCATGCAATGCTGATATGTAGTTTTTTTATTTATAAAACTCTGTACATCATATTTTTGCTTGCACTAGTTGAGATTCAAATATAGAGCAATTATGCTCAAGTTATTCACATTTTTGTATTTGTAATTATTTCACATATGACAGTAGCCCCTCTTCATATGCAGTTTTGTTTTCCACAGTTTAAATTGACCATAATTAACTCATGGCAGAAAATACTAATGGAAAATCTCAGAAATAAACAATTTATAAATGCTGTCTGACGATGCCCTGGTCCTTCTATTCAGTGACACAAATCACTCCTTTATCCAGCATATATGCTTTATAGGCTATGTGTACCATGAGAGAGAGAGAGAGAGAGAGAGAGAGAGAGAGAGAGAGAGAGAGAGAGAACATTCATGTAACTTTTAATGCAGCATATTATTTTAACTGCATATTGCATTAATATTGTTAGTCTCTGTGTCTACTTCATAAATTAAACTTAATCAATTATAATCTATAAGCTTGCATACTATCCACAGTTGGATCAACAAGGTCTTGGGAACAATCCCCTGAGGACAAGGACTATTTCATCAAACTCATTGCCACCTTTTCACATAGAAACCTTACTAATGCACTTTATAATACTGAAGATGTGCTACCTTTTTCTGCTTTCTTCCATATTTTTTCTTGATATTGCAAAATATTTCAGTGAGATATATATCATGCAAAATATCGATGAAGAAAAATATTAAAATAGAAAAATCTAAATGCAAATATTATTTTAGTACCATCTACAGGGATTTCAGTTCTTTAAGTGAGGCAAATGATTTGATTTATTTCTTTATGATGATTTTTTTATACATATGGCTTCAAATTTTAAAATATTTATGAATAGAAACACTCCAAGTTATGCTTATAGGATGTGAATATGTTTTTTAATTTGTAGTTTTTCCTCAAGTGTCTTTCAATATGCCCTTTGCATATAGGACTATTCATTTAAATCTTATTAATGTTAATCAACAGATACCATTTCAAAAAGTTTGAGGAAAATGTGACTTTTATAAAACAACTTTGCACACCAAAAGTACTTATTTTTTTAACAAATCAGATGATTATAAATTGCTTTGTGAAATTTAACAATCTCCTGTCTTATCCCATGCTGTTCATCCACGTCTATTAAACAGAAAGCACAGTACATACACTTTCTACATGTAATGAATCATTAGTCTTGAGTTTTAACTCATGTTCTTTCATCATTCATCAGGTGGTGATGACACAATGCTATCCTGTGTGAAATTAACCAAATCCCAAGAGAAGAAAGATGTTGACATGTATGCAAGGAAATGGGAAGAACTGGATGCTGGACTGGAGTCTCCTTCTGCACCCGGGGATAGAACCAGCACTTCAAATGGGCACATCCTGGAAGACACAGTGTCTCCTTACAAAGCTGGAGTTCCACTGTGGAAGACCTGGAAACCGTTTCCAGAAAACCCTCCCTGGACAGGTGTTGATTTTCCAATTACCCAAGGAGGCCACTGGGGTGGCTGTTGCTCCTGTGGTCACCAACTGCGTCTTAAGTCTTCTTACACAGATATGGATCTCTCGAATACATGGGTAAGTTTTCTTTAAAAACATAGTAAGTCCATCTTCTTAATCTGAAGCTTTGTACTAGTGTGGAGAAACAGATAACAAGGGTGTTGATTAGCCACGTTAATCATGATCAGGAAAATCACCAGAGCTGAGGTTGACTTTCCAAAGAGCAGATACGTGCCTGTGGCTTTTACCATTTACTAATGCTGTATATGTTCTTTGGTGGGTGAGTATACTACAGCACGGGATTTCGCAGAAGCTTCTCTTTAGGTGAATGTGGACTTCAGCTACTGATCAGGGTCAAGGAAATGTTCTTTGTGTTGTATAAACAATGCTGTTTTGATGAGGTTTCACTGCTCAATAATAGCCACCATTAAGGAGGATTTTTTTTTCTGTCATTCTCAAGAGCCTTTCACATGAATTAAATCATCTCAATCACACAATAACTAGATAAAGGTAAGGGCTTACTGTAATATTCTGCTACTAACCTTGCCCTGTTGTTGTGTAAATATGGAAACTGCAGCGTAGAAATGTGGTGGTATTGTGTTCCCCAAAATATTGTGTACCTTAATAAACTTATCTGGGGTCAGAGAACAGAAAAGCCACTAGTTAGGCAGTGATGGCACACGCCTTTAATCCTAGCATTTCAGAGGTAGAATCTCTCTGGATCTCTGTGAATTCAAGGCCACATTGGAAATAGCCAGGCATGGTGACTTATGCCTTTAATCCCAGGAAGCAAGCCTTTAGTCCTCGGGAGTGATAGTAGAAAGCAGAAAGGTATATAAGGCGTGAGGACCAGAAACTAGAAGCATTTGGCTGGTTAAGCATGTGGCTGGTTAAGCTTCAGGCTTTCGAGTAGCAGTTCAGCTGAGAGCCATTGGGATGAGGACACAGAAGCTTCCAGTCTGAGGAAACAGGACCAGCTGAGGAACTGGTGAGGTGAGATAGCTGTGGCTTGTTCTATCTCTCTGATCTACCAGCATTGACCCCAATAACTGGCCTTGTGTTTGATTTTATTAATAAGAACTTTTAAGATTCCTGCTACATAGAAATGTTTGGAAAAGTGTGAAGCCAAACAGCTGGAAGTATATGAGGCCATGATCAGGGGTTCATATGGTCATTTTTATGGGAGAAGATATTTTAATTAATGTTTTATTGTGTTTCATGTACACTAAGTTACACTCTAGGATTATGGAATATTTGAGAAAGAATTGATAAAGATTACTATAGAATTTATATTTGAGAAAGAATTTATAAAGAATATTTGAGAAGGAAAATTGTAAAGGAAGACTTTATAAACAGATAAATTTGATTTGGTTTCTAGCTCTGCTACTTTTTCAGGTTACACAAATTATTCAAACCACTTTATCTTAATTTTTTGACTGTCAAATGAGAATAGTAATATTAAACTCACAAGGTATCTGAGAAGACAAAATTAAATACCATAAATCCTCTAAGACTTAAGGGTGTCTGGTCTTGTTAGCGTGGTTCTAAGTTCCTTCCTTAGGTGTGCATTATACCTTAATTTCCCTTGAGTTGATTCTGTGTATTCACGCAGGATTAATGGGGCATCTGTGTGTGTCTAGGAAGTCTGTTCTATGCCATTTTTCTCTAAAGATTAATCTGTCATTAGATAGCAGCTGTATTTTATAGTGCATTAAGGGTCTCTGAAAAATTCCATTTTTTTTTTTTTTTTGGTGAAATTCTTCCCATGTGCTAAGATTTGCTCATTAAATCTCTAAAGAATGAGGCTGAAGAGATGGCCCAGAAATTAAGCGCTCATATTGTTCTGGAATAAGACCCAAGTTTAGTTCCCAGCAAACACATTTGGTAGATTATAATTGCTTGTAACTCCAGCTCCAGAGAAACTGATGCTTACTGACCTCCCCGGATACCCACACTCCCATGCACATACTCACACACAGACACCCATGCACACACCTAATTAAATATAAACATAAATATTAAAAATATCTTTGAGGATTAATGCTAAGGTCACCTACAATTAAAGTACCATGATGTGTCTCATTGGTATGGTGAGGGACACTACCTCACAATGATCACCTTTAGGGGTGGATCTCATCCTTCTGCTGTCATGCTCTTCTGGTGCAGCCAGACTTGGCAGACATCTCTTCAGCAGCTTTTTCAAGAGGAGCTGTCAATATAATAAATTCGAACCAGCTGTTGAAGACATCGATAGCTTTAGAAGCAAGATCAAAGATGTTGATTCTTTAGCAAATGACAAAGCTGATAAATGGCACACTAAACAGAAGTGCCCAAGGCTTTCTTCAAGAAGAAAATCTGCACTCTCAAACACAGGGATCTCCAGATTCAGCAGCCCGGCTTCCCGGCTTCAATCTAATTTTTTCAGGCTCATCTAATTACTGTCCGTTACAGTTTTCCTGTGCTGTACTGCCAAAGTGACAATTTGATATTTCTAAAAGCTGCCTTGTGCTTTCCTACCTGTGTGTCTTTGTGTCTGTGTGATGGTCTCTTCCTGGTGTGTCACTGGCGTGTCACTTTCTTTTAGAGCCATTTCTCTAGCCAAGGAGCTCACATCAAATTCTTTGTCCTTTAGAAAACCTTGTTGGTCCATGCCAGATTGACTCCTAGGTCATTACCTTACTGCTTTGTTATATATCCATCAGACACATATTAATACTTACTATGTGGCATTACAAAATTGGGCACTAGGTTAGAGAGTTAAAAACATGTATTGGCTTCATAGAAGTTTCCATATTCTATCAAATACAGTATTTGTTAAGCATTTCTTTACTTCCTGTAAAGTCCTTTATCCCTAGAATAGAATGAAATAAACTAAGAGCAACATATGCTGCTTAAATGAACATAGTTTTAAAAACCAATGGACGTTGTTCCTAATTTTACTGTCTTAGAAAATTTCTAAATTATTTATTTATTTTATATATGTGAGTGTTTTGGGAAACGGTGTCAGGTCCCCAAGGACTGGCACTACAGAAGGTTATAAGCCACCATGTGGGGGGTGAAGCAAACCGGTGTCCTCTGGCAGAGCAGCCAGTGCTCTAAGCTATGAAGTATCTTCCCATGCCTTGTTTCTAAATATCTCGATACCAGCAATTCTTCTTGCTGTTCTGTCCATACAACCAAAGTTTTTCTAATGAATCCAGCTATTCATAAATTTGGGATTTGGGTACATAAGAGTGTTTGTGGTAGATAAACACAGGGGTATCATTGTCTCCTTCTTATTTAGAGGGTCTTATGTGATTTAGTACATAACAGAGTGGCTGAGTTTATCTGCCAGAAGGTTAAACATATCTGCTGAACATTTGGAATTTTAAATGGTAACGTTAAGCATTCACGACAGGATGGCCTCAGTGGGTTTGGGGAGTGAGTCAAGATTATGTTAGAGTTAAATTGGTTTGGTAAACTTAATGAGACCACTTACACTCAGGGACTTGAGAAACTATAGTGAAAGAAGTGAGATGAGTGCAAATTATTATTTTTATATTCTACACCTACATACCATAATGATAACAAGTGACAACCATCCTGCTTCATTTTAGCAGAGCTGGTATTTTTTTTCTGTAGTGATTGCGGAGTTATTATTTGGGTTATTTAACTTTCATTCCACAAAATGAGAAGGCAGAGAGCATTAAGGGGAAAGTTGTACTTCTGAAATGAGCGTTACTATTAACAACAGGAGTCAGAAGTGACACTTCTGAAATTTTAATGGGTAAAAGTATGACTAGATTTTTTTAAGTGTACCAGCATGCTCAGATATGGTGGAGCTGGGTCTGAGTTCCACAGTGCAGATCTAACATTGACTCACTCTGATTTGACCTTATGAAGTCCCGTTTAGGCTTAGGTTCTCAAGGCTGGCTCTAAAGATCCAACCTTGCACAGACATGAACACGAGAGTGAACCTGAGTGAACTTCCCCCTTTAATTCACTAACTCCAAGTATATACAGAAGTGGCAGTCCCTACTGGGGCCATTGCTCCTTAATGAATCTGCATATGCAAAGTAGCCATTTGCATGGGAAACTTGTCAATATCTCCTAAATAGGACTCCTGAGATGACTAAGTGAAATGTGTTAGATTTCAGTCTACAGACTCTAAGCTTAATCCCCAATCACAACACAGAGACTTGTGTTACGATTACAAAGAAGCTATGTTTTATTGGGTTGTGAATATGAGCAAACAGAATCAGACATGGAAATGCATTGTTTGTGAAGGGTCCTTCCCAGAAGTCAAGAGGTGGATGAGACACAGAGATGTCTAATAGACAGTTTAGTTGCAAGGTTTGAAGGGCCCAAAGAGTGGGAAAAGATAAGTGACTATGGAATTGATACATGCTGAAATGGGTAAAGGATACATGCTTAGATTTATAAAAGCATATACTCTGCAAGAGAAACATCCAAGAGAAAAAACGCTAATGTCCGTCTTTTTTAACATCTCTTCTGAGATGAGTGCTTTTGAAAAGGGATTTTTAGATGCATATGAAAAAAGATAATGATGGAGGCAATCCAAAATGATGCTTGAAGCCAAGTGTTTCGAGTCAATTCCTAAAAGAAACTGAAGGATACTTATGGTATTTTGAACACTAAGAGCTTGGAACATCTAAGAGGGAAGTGAGGGAACATGAGCTATGGGCTCCAAAGTGACTATGGGTAAGAAAGCAAAGCGTTTGTTTGTTACCGAAAAGGTAAGACCTATCTGTAGTAGAATATTATTAGAAAAACAAATATAAGTTTAGTAATCTACCCTGGCATTTTTCAGATTGATACAAAGAATAAATAAAATATTTTTTATCATATTAAGAAATAAAAGTGGATCAGCAAGATGAGTTAACAGGTAAAAGCACTTAGAACTCAACTACTGGAGTTGAGTTCCTGAAACCCATAAGAAGGAAGATGAAAACTTATTCTCACAAGCTGTCCTCTGCCTTCCACATAAACACTGTGGCATGCACGTGCGCGCGCGCGCACGCGCGCACACACACACACACACACACACAAAGAGGGAGAGAGAAAACAACACACATATACACACATAAATAAATGTAGTTTAAAAAAGAAATAGAAGTGATTTAGATATAAAAAAGTGAGCTATATGCAGTTCTGTCTTTACAGCTTGGCACAGTTTAGTGTCTTCTAGGATGAAGGAACCAAATTTGAAGAACTGCCTGATCAGAATGGTCTATGGTCATGTCAGTGAGAGATTCTCTTAGTTGATGACTGAGAGAGGAGTTTTCAACCCACTGTGGGTGGCACTATCAGGAGAGGCAGCTACACATGCACCATAGAGCAAGGAAGTAAGCTACATTCCTCCACGGTCTCTGTTTCAGTTTCATTCTACCCTGAATTCCCTCAATGATGGACTATTACCTAGAAATATAAGTCAAATAAACATTTTCCTCCCAGCACAGTGCTTTCGTTCATGGTGTTTATCACAACAGAAAGCAAACTAGAACATCTACCTAAAATATTTTGAAGTTTATTTTTATAGAAACAACACAATATCATTTGAAATTGATAGCAAGAAATGATCTTTAAGGAAGAAGAAATTCAGAAGCCAGAAAGAATAGAAAGCACAATGAGAAGCCATAAAGAATCCAAATCAATAAGGGCAGAAAACTGAAAGTAAGAGCGACTAACAGCTCAACAGAAGTCAAACAGGTAAGATTTTGACCGAGTATTTGAAGAAGGTAGGAGAATAAACAAAGCGCTTTGTGAAGGTATCTGAGGATGAGAAAGCCAGCTCACCCAGATAGTATAACAAACCGAAGCATGAATAATGGAAACATTTTTAATGAAGCCATTTCGGTGTGAAGAACAGAATATGTGCTAAAGCTATGGAACAACAGCAACAAAAAAGAACAAAATGATCTACTATTTGTCTCCTTGTTGCAATGGGAAACAATGGATTAAAATCATCTTGTTATAGTATTCTTGGAATACACAGCCCTACTTTTAACGCAGTATGCAAATGTACAGACTGCCAAAGAAAACCAGTGGTCTATGAGAAGGGTGGTGTATTAGGTAAACCAGTTTCTCTCTAACCCTTTAGCAGTTGAGTAGACTCTTGAGAATGTGCAGAGTTTCCCACGGAACAACCCTAAAGTGATTTGTCACCCTCTCCGTTTCTTTATTCTGTAATTCTGGGAATCCTTTTCAGTAGCATTGATCTTTACCTGACCCTCCAACCAACAAGTCACATTATTACCTGATTAATTTATCTGACATTTAATCTGGTCCGTTTGATAGGCTTGAGATATGTAAAACACACCTCTGGGTGTATCTGGGAGAGCAGTTTCAGAGATAATCAGATTGTAAGAATTCTTACATAAGGAACCAATAATTTATGCATTGGTGGATTCAAACTTTTATTACACTACTCAGACATGACAGAATCGTGGAAGATGATGCCTGGATGGAGTAGGGCACTTCCTTCTGTGGTGGCTTGACTCTTTTCCGGCTGCTATGTTGTGTAGTGCACTGCTTCACCACACCCTCCCAGCTCTGTGGACTACCTCTGAAGCCATGCACAAAACAAGGTCTTCCCCCTTGAGTTATTTCTGTCACCTCTGTTTATCAGTGACAAGAAATCTAATATAGCCAGTTTAAGTGACTGGTTCTACTTGACTAACAATCCTGAAGTGCACATCTAAATGGCACTGAAATCTATAGGGCTAGGGATAAACTGATTCATCCAATATGCCCTCTTATCAGGCCCCTGTGTGTGTCACACAAAGGTGTGTGGTATCTCACCTAATTTTTAGTATATGGGCTACTTCCTCATTTTTTGCCTTTCATTGCTTTTTATTTGATGACTTTTTTAAACTACTGGGCAAATAGGTAAGAATTCAAGGAATGTCCTACCAATTAAAAATCATTGTGAAAAGGAATCGTATATAAGGGGGATGCACAAAGAATGCAGAGTGGTAGATAGGGTAGATAGTTAAAAGGACAAATCTAACTTCACAGACTTTTTTTTTCCTTCTTCTTAGTGATATCAGGTCCTTACCAAAACTGTCTGTGGGCTCACAGAAAGGAGTATTTTTGACTCAATTAATATTAACATATGATAAGAAGACAGCTCACACATCTGTCTGGAGGAAAGCAGGGTATACACCATCAGTGAATAATTCCTCATACTTTAAAATGCCATGCTTCAAC